TTAAATTTTGATTTAATATATTTTGATAAAATAAATTTTTAGTTTTAAAAATATGTATTTTTGAAAACAATTTTAAGAGAATTAGTGATAAGTACATTTGTGTAACAAAACATTTGCCAATCAGAAATAAATATTTCAAATAATACATAATTCTAATGCTCCTTTTACTCTCAAATGTATCTGGGTTTGAGTGATGAGTTATTTGAAGGGACAGAGTTGTTTATCAAACATTCCATATGTACTCAATGTTCTCATAAGTCAGCAGAAAAAAAAGACCCAAGATTTGCACAAAGTGCAGACATTTTGTGATCTACCAACAAAAGAAACCTTGGATTTGATTTTCTTGGATTTGACGTATTTTCACAATTAATGGACATTTTCTCTGGCTCTGGTTTCCCCAGATCTCTGTGGTCTGTGCTTTAGCTACTTGGACACGTGTCTTATTGTAGTCTTGCTGTGTGTGTTCCCACCCCTAGATGGGTCCTCATTTCTTTGCTCTGGCTAGAACAGGAAGGAAGCCCTGTTGGGCTCACCCTCGATTTTTGCCCCCAGTCTTCTCTCCAAATCTCTTCATGCTGCTTTATTTATTTCACCAGCACTTACATGGTAACCCTGTCCTCAGCACTCTGTAAACATCAACTCATGAATCTTTATAAGGACCCCATGAAGTAGTTGTGATAATTATTCTACTTTACAGAGAGAAAAATAGCAAAAAGAGGCAAGAAAGTGCCTAAAGTCATAGGCTGGAAAATGCCCTTCAATGCTGGCAGAGTGGTCCTTGTGTCCGTACTACACCCCTTTGTTCTGCTCTGGTCCAACATACCCAGAGGCCCAGATCATACATAACACACACAAAGTCACTCTAGCTGCATTCTGTTCAGCAAAGCAAATAACAAGGGCAATTCATATTCCAGGGTGGCGTTAGGGATTCCATGTCCTGACAGCTCCGTGGCCATTTTTACAATGGTCCACACTTGCTCTGTAGTCCCACTTTGCAAAAATGATTCATTATTATCTGTTTCTTGTGTTTTGTATGTATAGAAACATACTCTTTGTGCTTCATTTTTTTCACCTTCTTAGATACCTTTCTATCTCATTAGCACCCCTGAGCTATTCTAGACTTCTTTGGGGTGAATTTTTGCATTATCATTTTGTTGGAATGTTGTTGCTTCTTACTTCTCCAATGCCTTTACCCCAACACTAAACAATTTTCTTCAGAAATGCTTTCTTTTTTTTAAGATTTATTTTTATTTATAAAATAAATTCTAGGCCACAGGTGTGGGGGGTGAGAGGATTCAGCAGAGACAGAGTGGGGAGCAGAACAGGCAGACTGATTGAAATACTCTGCTGAGGGGAGCAGCGGGCGAGACAAGAGAGGTCTGCTGTGCTATGTGGGCTACTCCCTGGAGGGGATTGAACTCATGCTGCAGGGGCTGGTGATAGCTTCATAGTGCTGAGACTTTAACCTTTGCACCACCAGGGAGGCCAAGAAACATTTTCTTGATTCTCTCCACCCACCTCTGACCATTTTCTTTGGAATCAGATGCATTATTGCCCACTTAGCTCCAATAGTCAAGACTTTTTGTCCTGTAGCACTAACTGACTAACTTGTCCTGTAGCACTTAATTCATCCAGTCACAATTTCCCATTTATTCTATCTGCACCAGAGCCAGTAAGCCCTGTGTCTTGAATAGTCATATAGCCCAACACCTACATGGTACCTACACAATGCAAGCATTTATCAGCTCATTATTAAATTAGTGGATCAACATTAACAAATGAATAGTTTGACGCAGAGGCATTGCCATGGTATTTATCACAGAGCAGCAGTGTCTGACTCCAGGTTATTAGGGACAGGAACTGCACCTTTTCCCTTTCTTCCTTCCAACTTGTGACTCACCTTTTACTGAAAGAATGCCTTCTTTTAACAGCTCCTACCTGGCCTCCCATGTGCTAATCCCTATGTCACACTCTCATCTTTCCGTGAATACCACCTGCCACATGCTGTCTTTTCATTAGAGCATTTCTTCTTTGTATGTCCTTTAAGTGATGAAAGGTCTCTGGAAACAAGGGCCCCTGACCTCTTGCCTTTTTTATGAACACTTGAAATAAAATGATTGTGTAACCATGGAAGCAGTGTTTTATGTATGTCAAGTAGGTCAGATATATTAATCATTCTGTTATGGTGAAAGGGACTTTAAACTGTTCCATTATGACTGTAGACTTGTCTATTTCTCTTTTCAGCCCTGTCAATTTATAGAGACTTCAAATTTTGATACCATCTTACTGACTTTCAAAATCATAGAGACTTCAAATTTTGATACCATCTTATTGGATTACTTCCTTATTATAATGAAATATCCGAGAAATCTCTAAGAATGTTTCTTGTCTTAAAAACTGCTTTATCTGATGTCAGAATAGTTTCACCAACTTCCTTTGGTTAATGTTTGCATGGCGTATTTTTCCCATCTTTTTACTGCAATATTACTGTCTTTGTGATATGTCTCTTACAGGCCACATATACTCAATAACTTGTTAAATAAGAAAAAGCACTGGCAGTCTTTGACTTAAAACTAGAATATTTAGCCCTTTTATACTTTATGTAGCTACTGGAATATTTAGGTTTAAATCTGCCATCCTTTCTCCCCCTTTTTTACCAAACCAGTCCATTAAAGGGAAACTGAGGTCCTCAAAGCCATGGGACTTGTGTGCAGAAGATCAACCTTCAGGATAAGAGGACTTGGTTTTTTGTTGGCATGACTTAGAACATTTGACAGCATGGGGGTGTGGGTGACCAAAACATTTGAGCCAGATCTTCCGGTGAAAGTTACGTTTTTAGGTGAAAAAGGGAGGAAAGTCTTAATAATGCTGCCTGACAGGTAAAGCACCAAATTCAGAATGGACTTTTTCTAGACATTATTGTCTGAGCAGGTGTGTTCAGTTGTTAACACACAAAAATCCAGCACTGCTGGCTAATAGGATCCCTCTCATCTTGAATATTGGTTTGGACATTCTTGATGGTGGCCCTGGGCTCAACCTCAAGGGCAATGGTCTTGCCCATCAGAGTCTTATAAAATATCTGTGTCTTTGCATCTGCTGGCTGATTGCTTCCTTGAAGAGAAAGAGCTACATCTATAATTCTTTTTGACCCATGTGTTTTCTCTCTTTGGAGAGAATATCAATTGTGAAAGGAGACGCAAAGAAAGAAAATTTTCAGGCTGCAGACTAGATTTCAGGCAAATAAATTTTAGCAAAGAGTACATAGGGAATTTGAGATGTGGTTATTTATTTTATTAAAGGGGATGTTATATATTCTAGCACCAGGCATGAAGGCCCAGGGGGAAAAGAAACAGAATAAGAACACATGTTCATCTATGTCAGGATGGGACCATTGAAGTCATTTACTATAATAACATGAGATAAAAAGTCAGAGATTGACTTTCCAAAGACCTTCAGCATGCTAGTGGTAGAGCTCACATTTAGATGTCTCCTCACTGTGAAGTCCAAGATGTTTGCTCATCCATTACATCTTGGAGTTGAGTTGAAGGTTGTATCTGCCTGCCTCCTCCACGCTGCCTCCACTCCTGTGTGATCCTAGACCTTAGAGATGTTTGTTTGTTTGTTTGTTTTTTGAGGATATGCCAGCACTGCTTTGAGATCATGGCCTGCTTTACAATTGAAAGAGAAACTAGGATAAAAGAATATTGATGCATTCTGAGACTGCCCAGAAGCCTACAATGGAATTGAGAAACTTTCAAAGAAACCTGTTCTTAACACAAATTTTTTTGAACTTTCTTGAGCTCATCTGAGATCTTTAAGATCTGGGAATACTATCTGCATCAAGACCTCAAGATCTCTACATAGTTCAAGCCCCAAACAAATCAGAGTTAAGACTAAGTCCAGATCCACAGGCACCTACAAAACATACCATATCCTATACTATCACTACTCATAGCTTAGCTATTTTACTTGTAATGAGAAGGGAGGAAGGGTTGCAGCAAAAGTATGAGGATGAGAGTGGTTTTGATGATGGAAAATGGTATAATTTCAAACACAAGATTTATACTGAGGGGCTAGCAGGGTGCAAGGCTGGAAAGGCAATGGAGGCTAGTCTTGCTCACAAGTGAAGGAGAAAGGACTCCCTTTATGAGGCAAAAAAGGAGCCACGAAAGCCCCACTCTCAGGGACTTGGGATTGTCTATAGAATAGACATGGAAGGAAAAGAAGAGGGTCATGTACATGGTTACAGACGATAAGCGTGAAGAGTACTGCTGGAGGGGGAGGGGAATGAAGAGTCCTGAGGGCAGGAGCATCCCAGGAGCACTGCAGCAGAAGAGCCCTGCAGATGCCAGTGACCAGGGGGTTGTGGGGAGCAGAGGGAAGTGACAAGTCAAGAAGACCATAGAGTCAGAGCCCCAGTGATCTAGAGAAGTTTGGAACCATTCACAGAATAAAGTGCTGGCAGCTGGAAAAGAACCTACTGGAAAGTGTCACCCATTTTGCTCAGGGCCTGGTTGCCTGGTACTTATGTGGGGACAGCCAAGCCAGACTGCAGCCAGGAAAGTTTCATAGTGGAGAGGAATGAGAGCAGTAAGGAACCACACTCAGGCTGCCTCAGGAGCAGAGGGTTGAGACAAAGTAGGAGGAACAGGAGCAGGAAATGAAGAAAAGAAGGTAAAGAATTTGGAGGCAAAGGAAATGGAGTAGGTTATGACCTTCTGTCCTTTGCTTAAGGGGGGAATTTTCTCCTCACAATAAAAGAAATGAATGACCTAAAAGAATAAAGAAATACAAAGTTACTCAATGCTTCTGCTTGTGAAAACAATAACAACAACAACAGAAAAAAACATGAAATAGCCAATTAGTTGTTTCTCTATCCAGAGTACATTGCCCTGTGCATAAACCTCTCCATCATGGGGCTTTTTAGTATGACTCCTGCACTTAAGCATAATCTTTTGTTTTTGTAAAAAGAAATCAAGATAATATTGTTTTACTGTCAGTAGGTGGTTCTTCAGTGGGTTTGAGCTTTGAAAGCGCCGCCAATACCAACATTTACTTTGGAGGCTTTCAGGACAGAGGAGCTTCTTATAGGGGACAGGAGAGGAGGAAGACCAGACAGAAGCAGGCTGGACAAGGAGACTCTACCACAGAGGCAAGATGACGAAGCTCACCCTGCTCACGGGTAAGGACCCCTGCAACTCTGCCTCTGAGGCCCTCTCAGCCTGTTATTTTCCTGCCCCTTTAACACATTCTTTCACCAATGAATTTCAACCCAATCCGCCAAGACGATTGCTTTTGGGAAAAGTAGAGGCGCACAATTCCTTCCCTGGTGATGACTCTTGTTGTCCCCTGGAGTCTCCATTCCTGTACCAAAACTCAGAGGTTCTTGGCAATTTAATGGTCTTGTGAGTGGGAGCAGAGGGAAGTGAGCTTCAGAAGGAAATCTTGAGGTTTTGTCAGCCTCAGTAGGTTGGGCATCTACAGAGAGTATTCAAAGGACTCAGAGTAAAAGGCAGGAAAATTTCCTGCTGCTTAAGTGAAGCGCTAGACTTCACTGCCCTGTTCACGGATGTCTTTCTCCAGCTCATTATTTTCTCTGTTGCTTTAAGGTCTGCTCTTCGTGCTGACGGCTGAGATAGGTATGTATTCCTCTCCCACGGGCGCCATATTGTTCCTTGGCTTTATTTCTTCACAATGTGGAAATTCAGTATGGCTCTCTGTCCCTCTTCAAGCAAAGAGTATTAATTTCTTCTTTTAAAGGGAGTTCAAAAATCCCTGACCAAGTTGACAAAGGGATGATTGACCAAAAAAATCCCAAAGCAGAAACTGCCTAGACAGAGGTCTTAAAAATAAATGTTAACAAGAAAAAAATAACTTGGTGAAGCATCTACATGCATTCTGCTCTGTTAAACCCTTTTAAAATCAGTCATCTTATGAGTCTTTAAAACAGGTCTCCTCTGAGAGACGGAGAGGAAAGGCAGGGCCACCCCAACTAATTAATTGGCCACCCCAGACCAATTAACTGAGGCAGATGAGTGATATGACTTGTTCCAGAAAATACAGAGAGTTCGTGTCAGAGTCTAATCAGAAGCCAGGATCCCAGGCACCTAGTGGATGGTTCATTTCCCTCTGAGTGCAATTATTACCCAGGGAGACAGCTACAAGTGCTGAACAGACTTAGGTTGCATTCTTTCTGTGTTTCCCTTTACAAATGAGTAAAATGGAAACAATTGTACCTACCTCTAGTGTTTTGGTGAGGATTAATGAGTGACTTTAAGTAAATTAATCAGTGTAGTAACTGGACAATTAATAAACAAGGGGCCTCCCTGGTGGCACAAGGGGTTAAGCACCACACTGTGAAGCAGTCGGTGGCCTCTGCGGCATGAGTTCAATCCCCGGCCAGCCAGGGAGCAAACCAAGTGCAAGGCAGACCTCTCCTGTCTCACCCGCTACTCCCCTCAGCAGTGTGTTTAGGTCAGTCTGTCTGTTCTGTTCCCCACTCTGTCTCTGGTGAATCCTCCCATCCCCCGCATCTCTGGCCTGTACCCCAGCTGTTGTATGCATAAATTGATGAATCTTTAAAAAAATAAATAAATAAATAGGCCTTAGTGATTGCTATTATTAGCATGTAGAGGGAACTAGATTACGTATAAATCAGAGCTTACTAGTTTTGAGGTTTAATTTCACCGAAAGGCACTGATTTCTAAGTTTCTTTAATTCTCTCTTGAAGGGACAGAGCTGCCGCTAAGATAATTCAGCTCTGAATTTGCCTGCTATTTATCAGTTCGCTGAAGTACACAAAGTTCTCATTCCAATCTCCCCATCCCTTTGAGACTTTGATAGGAAAGTTGTTTGGAAAGTCTTGGTTTCCTAAACAATCTATGACTGCTATTACAGGAGGGTTCTTGGTAATAGTGTTCCACCCTATCCCTCCTGCTAACAGGTTCTGCCTACCACCTGACATGCTACTTCACCAACTGGGCCCAGTACCGTCCTGGCCTGGGACGCTTCAAGCCTGATGACATCGACCCCTGCCTCTGTACTCACCTGATCTATGCCTTTGCTGGGATGCGTAATAACGAGATCACCACCATCGAATGGAACGATGTTGAGCTTTACCAAGCTTTCAATGGTCTTAAAAACAAGTAAGTGTTGAAAGAACTGATGTTCAAAACATTCTTAAGAACCATTTGTATAAAACCTACTGTGACCTCCAGACTGACATTCAGGACAGGTCGATGCGCAGCACACACAAACATTCTGAGCTTCCTTATTATTGTCAGTACAGTGGTGCTGTAAGGGGAATGCCTGGCTCACAGGAGGTGATTGTCAGTGGGAGTCCAGTTCAGTTGCCAAGGGAAATTTAGAAAAGTCCAGTACTTGTGAGCGCAGATGAAAACAGCCTCGCACTTGGAGCAACCCAAAGCTGGCACTGGTGAAACATTCAGGGTCCTGAGTCAGGCCTTTCACCCCAAGGGAAGTAATCAGATCTATTGAGACACTGAAACCTGCCAACCTTAGATCACCTACTGTTTTGGAAATGAAGGTAAGAATGAAGAGAACCAGTGTTGACAGGCTGCCAGAGACTTTTCTGACTTCTCAGTCACTATGATCGTTAATGTTACCATGGCTTTTGTCCACTTACCTTCCCATCTACCTTTCTTTCCATCTCTTCTGACACAATGCTTTGCTTCTTTTCCCTCAGGAATAGTGAACTGAAAACTCTCCTTGCTATTGGCGGCTGGAACTTTGGAACTGCCCCGTAAGTTTTTCAAGATGATTTTGTACAGGGAATTCACTATGTGGTATCAGGAGCTCCAAAGCCTCACCCTGTCTTTGTTGGGTCTCTCTCAGCTTCACTGCCATGGTTTCCACTCCCGAGAACCGCCAGACCTTCATCAACTCGGTCATCAAATTCCTGCGCCAGTATGGGTTTGATGGGCTGGATTTTGACTGGGAGTACCCCGGCTCTCGTGGGAGTCCTCCTCAGGACAAGCACCTCTTCACTGTCCTGGTGCAGGTGCGCTGCTTTGCATAGCATTGGGTGTGGGAGATGCACAACCAAACCTCATATGGAAGATAACTGAGGCTGAAATCTTAGTGCCTTATGGTCTCAGTGGAGATGAAGCACCTGGAGACCCTATTCTAGTGAGGGTGCTGCAGGGTGAAGGAGGGAAAAGAGGAATTTAATCCAAAGAGTAGGAGGCAGAGTAGAGTTGATGTGCATATGATTTCTCCTACTCCTCTAGGAAATGAGGGAAGCTTTTGAGCAGGAGGCCCAGCAGGTCAACAAGCCCAGGCTATTGGTCACCGCTGCCGTAGCTGCTGGCATCTCCAACATCGAGTCTGGCTATGAGATTCCCCAGCTGTCCCAGTGAGTAGGCACCTCTTCCTTACCCTCCTATAGACCTCACTTTTGAAGGACAGTCTCGCCCTTAGTCTGTCTTGCTGTTCAGGGGCCTTGTTTAGGAGGCTCTGGAAGTGGTATCTTTTCCTGCATAGGTGTGGGAAGTGGCCATGAGAAATGTTTCCAAATCCCTCACCCCACTCAGGTACCTGGACTTCATCCATGTCATGACCTATGACCTCCACGGCTCCTGGGAAGGCTACACTGGAGAGAACAGCCCCCTCTACAAATACCCAACTGACACTGGCAGCAATGCTTACCTCAACGTGGTGAGTCCCTGCACAGACTCATTTGCAGACCAGAGATGATGTTATAAATCACAGGGTGATTTGGGGAGAAAAGGCATCGTGAATGTAGTAATTAGAGGGAGAAAGCATTATAAATGTAGAAATTTTCTCAAAAGGGAAATTAGGCTGGTATCACTAATTTAACTAGTTCCGTTTACTAAAAAGTCACCAAAAAAGTAATTTATCAGATAAGAAATAAGATATTATTCAGACTTTAAAAAATAAGATCCCATTACTCATATTTCAATAAATTACAAAATCTTTCTCCCAGCTTTCTCTTCTTCCAGTTCCCCTTCTGTTTACTCTATTTTCTGTTATTCTAATTTCTTGCACATGTCTGCCACACAGAATTTCAGTCATTCACCAGTGGATCGTACCAAGAAAGTCATGGGACAAAAAACTTTGTCCTCACATGTGTTTTTGAAGGGAAGGGTATATCTAATGTCCCATACTGGTGTGTTATTAAAAAGAAGTGAGTTGAAATATGGACATACCACTTCAACAGAGATATGTGAATGATGCTCTGAAACACACTGCAAATACTTTGGATAGCTGGTGCAACCAAACCGAAAAACCCTAGCTAGTAACTAACTACTAGACCGTCATCTGGGTGGGAGCTCTAGCTAACTCCCTCCCGTTGCAGGAGTACGCCATGAACTACTGGAAGGCTAATGGAGCTGCAACTGAGAAACTCATTGTTGGATTCCCAACTTATGGACACACTTTCCTCCTAAGCAACCCCGCCAACAATGGAATCGGAGCTCCTACCACTGGCGCTGGCCCTGCTGGACCCTACACCAGGCAGTCTGGGTTCTTGAGTTACTATGAGGTATGTTCCTAGGAATTTTAGAAAGGGGGAAGGTAAATTTCCCTTTGTCCTTGGATTTAACAATGTTAACAATAGTCCCCCTTCTTGGCTCATTTAACTAACAATTGAAGCTAAAAGTGGATGCGCTTAGCTTCTGGAAGAGAGGCAAGATACACACTGGTGTTTGCTACTTTAGTTGGGCCCACACTAGGGCCCTTTAGGTTGAATTCCAAATACAGAAAGAGTATAATCAATGAGATTATACTCATTTATAAACACTTCTAACTCATTTATAAGTTTTTGTTTTTTAAAGATTTATTTATTTATGTACACAAGAACTGGGGTACAGACCAGAGGTGTGGGGGATTGGAGGACTCACCAGAGAGAGAGTGGGGAACAGAACAGGCAGACTGACTAAAATACACTGCTGAGGGGAGCAGCGGGCAAGACAGGAGAGGTCTGCTGCACCATGTGGGTAGCTCCCTGGCTGGAGATTGAACTCATGCTGCAGTGGCTGTGGATAGCTACATAGGGTGCATCTTCATCCCTTGTGCCACCAGGGAGGCCCATTTTTTTTTAGAAATGGGGTACAGGCCAGAGTCATGGGGGGTGAGAAGATTCACCAGAGAGAACAGGGAGCAGAACAGGCAGATGTACCAAAATACACTGCTTAGGAGAGCAGCAGAAGAGACAGGAGAGGTCTGCTGTGCCAAGTGGGTTGCTCCCGGCCGCCCGGGCCTCAAACTCGCACAGCAAAGGCTGCAGACATCTTCTCAGGGCTGTGCTCAACCCCTGAACCACCAGGGAGGCCCATTTTTAAGTTGTTTTTTTTTTTTTTTTCACATTGAAAATAAATGACCCAAATATAACAAAGAAACAGAATCCGAAATAAATCAAGAACTCTAGAACTCTCAGTCTTCTTTTCAAGTAGCTTTTACACATCTGTCATCTATTTCCCCACCCCATACACTTTTCCCCTTGCTATGTAGACTATTTGCTTACCTCTGACTGCGTCCTAATATCTTTTTAGATCTGTACCTTCCTGAAGAATGGGGCCACTGAAGTGTGGGAGGCCAGTGAGGAAGTTCCCTATACTTACAAAGGCAATGAGTGGATTGGATATGACAACACCAAGAGCTTCCAAATCAAGGTAGAATGTGTTCAACAGGCTGTTGTTGCCTGTGAGTTTGTTCCCATTTGTAACCCGGAGCCACAGGTTGACCTTGATGTTTGAACTTGACTGAATTTCTCTCTAATTACCCCAGGCTGATTGGCTGAAGAAGAACAACTTTGGAGGTGCCATGGTCTGGGCCATTGACTTGGATGACTTCACAGGCTCTTTCTGCAACCAGGGCCGATACCCCCTGATCAGTACCCTGAAGAATGCCCTTGGTCTGCAGAGTGCAAGTGAGTTAGGGGGTGAGAAGGAACCCTGAGCCTCAAACTTGTGAGAAATTTCAGACTTTTTTGGAAGTCAAAGAACCATTGTACAAGTGATTTTATGGCTTTTGCTCCATTCATGTTTGGCAATGACTCCCTAATGGTGGAGAGAACAAACAAATGAATCTATTCATTTACTTCATAATTTAAAAGAGCCTTTTTGTGCATCCATTATGTACGCAGCTCTCTGCAGGTAACCCAGGGGACCCCAAATACATAACTTACAGTCTCTACTCCATAGAAACTTACAATCGACTTACAGAGGATTGATGCAATTACAAAGTCAGATAACAACACAGAAGATATTGTATAATTAAGTACCAGATAAGGAATAATAAGCTTTCTTGTGTTCAAATTCATGGCAATGAGAAGAATCAAAGTATCAGGTTGAGCTAGGAAGGAGAAAATACTGAACTGTGCCTTGAAGGATAAAGAGGGAGTTGATGAGCAAAGAAGAGCGGGGTGGTGGGAAGGCTTACTGCATGAAGAGGCTGAAACACACAGAGACATGGAAGGAAGAACTTAGAACAAAATCTAGGGTATTACTTCTCACATGTAAGGCATCACTGATTAAAAGCAAGGGATTCAGGATCTAATGTTTTCTTTCAGGTTGCAAAGCCCCAAGCCAGCCCATTGATCCCGTCCCAGATACCCCCAGCTCAGGCAGTGGCAGTGGTGGCTCTGGGAGCAGCTCCGGGGGGAGCAGCTCTGGAGGGAGCGCCGGTGGCAGCGGATTCTGTGCTGGCAAGTCCAACGGCCTGTACCCTGACCCCACCAACAAAAATGCCTTCTACAACTGCTTGAATGGGCAGACCTACAGTCAGCACTGCCAGGCTGGCCTTGTCTTTGATCCTTCCTGTTCCTGCTGCAACTGGTGATATGTTTCCCAGATACCACCTCACTCATTCCGTCCCAGAAATTGTACAATAAAGGGTTGAGCATTGCATGTACTGACTACTGCTTCTTTACTGAGGTCTTCAATGTAATTAATCCCAGACTCCCAACAACACACTTGGGCTCCATCAGTCCACCTGGTTTCTATGGACCACCTGCAGCAGCGTGCACAGCCCTATCCTGGGTGTAGGTGGCAGGCTCAGAGGGATTCAGAGATGTTTGTTCCTTTTATTCTCAAAACATATACTCAGATGAGGGCAGGAGGAGAAAGGAGGTAAGACTCAGATAAAGATCCATTATAAAAAGTATCAAGTTCATTCTATTGGAGAAACACCTCTACGTGTTCAAGGGGTGCAGGAGTGGAGACTGGGAGGTCTCTAAGCGTGAAAATAAGAAAGTGGTTTTAAGCAGGATTTAGGATTAAGAGTCAGCTTGCCCTTTGAAGCTTTGAAACCTGTCATTGACTTCTCCTCTCTAGCTATGAAAATCCTAGATGGCATTGTCTTCTAATAGAAGTCTGTTCTGTCTACATTGCAAATAAGTTTTTCAGTGTAATCACCTTCATAATTATCTTAGCTAAGCCAATACTTCAACTTTAGAGGTATGAAAAATAAGTACCTAACACTCGGTATCTTTTATCTCCTGATTTTATGTTTTTATTTTTGTTAAGTCAATATTTAATATTTTGTTTTAGACTAGCACTGAAGTGTAGAAGGGTGGGATAAAAGGATGGCTTCACTCTGAGGTGAGATCATGAGATTACTAGGTGAGGCGAAACGAGGTGACACGACAGAAGACTGAGGGAGAATGCCAGGGAGAATGCCAGGGAAAGGCAAGAGAAAGTGTGGAGATTTCTGGGGGCTGGGGGGCTGCCTGGCCCTCCTGCCTGGTCCTCCAGCCCTAAGTCCCTGCTTGCCTTCTTTCATGCCAACCTCCCTGCCTGGCATGCCCATGGACCTTGTTCTCTGCTCCAACATTAAAGGCCTGTAAAAATCCACCAAGGGCTCCAAGATTCCTTAACCCATCTGCCCAAATCCACAGTGAGCCTACCCACTCTGTGATGGCTGCACTAAAGTCCTCTTGAAATGTTGAGGTCAACTGCCTGCAAAAATTGTTATGGCAGTAATGGGGGTTCCCCAAATTCCTGAAAGGCCAAAGTGGTGAAAAGAGATTGGTGGTTAAAATCACACAACCTAATATTCCTGGGCTGTTCTTAATGACCTGAGAGGATGTTGCCAAAGGAGAAGTTTGAATAAGTATCTCTGATGAAATTACAATTTGAAAACTCTCATTGATTGAATGTGAAATGATGTAATTTTATATAACCTTGTAGGGTAAGTGAAAAAGCATCAGGCTTTTCTGCCCTCCCACCATTAGGACTGATGATGGATCCTTGCAGTCCTGAATGCATGCCTGATGGCAGGCACCTGGAGTAGGGGTGGGCATATGTAGATGGGATTCACCTAGGCTAAGACTGTACTTTTAAGGGCAGCGTCACGGATGCCAGCAGGAGGAGAACCACAGGAGAAGAACCACAAGAAGGTGAACAAATGGAAGAGCAGAGAGCAGAGAAGCAGAGAACCACGAGAGAAGCAGAGAGAATGCAAGAGAAGGCCAGAGAGCCCAGACAGAGTGAAGACTTGCTGGGGGCTGGGAGGCCTGCCAGCCTCCCGGCCCCCCAGCACCCCTGCATGCTGTGTACCTGGTAAATCCCAATAAAAGCCTGCAAAAGCCACCGAGGGCTCCAGGACTCTATCCTCCTTCACCCGTCTGCTGGATCAGAAAACCTGCTCTCTGCCATTCCTGCCCCTACAAACCTCATGTAAACAGGATCAAGCAAATTGACCACTTACTCTCTTTCTGAGACCAGTGAGGTCAGTTAAGACAGCACAGGTTATTAAGATGTTAGCGTGCTACATGGCCCTGTTAAATGGTGCACAGAGAGGAAAGAATTAAAGCCATGAGATCTGTATAATGAGTTCCCCACAATAGGTGAAGAGAATGACCCCAAGTAGGACCCCACCAGCAGAACTGCTGTGTGGATTCCCGCTGGTGTCTGATCTTAGAAATTTATGTGATTGTGGTTTTTAGATAAAGAGCTCAAACATAATGAAAGCAATGATGGTTCCTATCCTTGTTCATGGGAAAAGAACATGGGAAAAGTCCCCCCTTGTTCATGGGGGACCTTCAGGTGACTGCCAAGTGACAGGTGCAACTGGACTGGTCACTTAGTAAGACAAAGGGAAGATTAAGGGACAACATGTCCAGAACATACAGTTGTGAGGACTCAAAACCATGGGGCAGTGCTAGGGGTTGTTGTAGTCCATCACTCCCAGGCACCTCTTGCCTTGATGAATTAGAGGCATTAGCTTTCTAACAGGAGAAAACCTACACCCATGTCAAGCATGGAAAGGATACTTCCATTTATTATTGCACTGCCTACTGTGGACAGAACCATATCTCCCAAAATTCATGTGTTGAAGCTTTAAACCTCCCGCCCCCACCATAGGACTAAATTGAAGACAGGGCCTTTAAGGAGTTAATTAAGGTTAAATGAGGTCACTAGGTTGGATCCCTGATTCAACAGAACTAGTGCCCCTATTAAAGAGGAAGCGACATCACCTGTTTCTCTGCTTCTGCCATAGGAGAAAACAGTCAGAAGGCAGCTATCTGCAAGCCAGGGAGAGGGTTCCAACCAGAAACCAAACCTCTTGGAGCCTTGATCTAGGGCTTTCCAGGTTCCAGGACTGTGACAAAATAAATTTTTGTTTAAGTCACTCGGCCTACGGTATTTTTGTTGTGGAATCCCAAACAGATTAAGACAATGTCTTAACCTAATCTGATGACTATTTCATGTCTCCTATTACCCACAGAGGATGAGAACAAGAGAATGCAGAAAAATTGGCTCCAAGACAAGTTGCTTAAGCCTGATCACTTCCAACTGGTAGGTTAACTAGATTGCTTGCCCAGTGCTAAAAATATCCTAAGTAGAGCCATTCCCAACAAGGCCATCTGTTCTAAACCATCTGTTGTAAACCTAGGAGCCTGAAGACAGGAAGCTTTCTGGAGCTGAACAACTGTGACTTGGGGAACCAATCCAGGTATTCCTTCCTAATCTTATTTTTTTATTCTTCCAACACTCACTCTCTTGGCAACTGTGAAATCGGGACTACATCCTGTGCTAAGAAATGGGTAGAGACTAATCTGAGTCACTGCTATCTCTACCTGGCTGTTAGTGGGCTACCCACTGTAACTACACCCTCAATTTTACCCTGATGTGAGCCCAAAGCTGTGCAATGTCGGCTGTGCAATAATCAACTGTGTTGATCGGAACAGCCATTCTTAATGTAGTGCTGGTACCAAGGAGGTACTCTATTACATGTATGTAGGAATAGGAATGGTTGATGTAGGACTCCCACTGAGATGATGATCCCAGGCAAAATGCCATGGATATTTATGGAAGAAGAAAAAAATCTTTTCTAGGCTGGAAGGAAACATTTGAAACCATGGGATATAGGGTGGTAATACAGTAATACAGTCTCACTATCTGACACTAGATCCTCCCAGGAGAACTAGCACCCCAATTTCCCCATATTCTTTGATGCAAAGCTTGTAGGCAGTAGACTTTCCTACTAACCTTCATGATATTAAATCTACCATCTAGAATTGGGTGCAATCATGGAAAGTCAGTGACCGTCCTGGTGTCTTCTAATGTCACAATCTTTCTAGAATATTCTATCACGTTACACCACCCAGTATCTATCAATATAACTGACTGTCAGTGAAGAATCCTACATTCCACAGTTTAGTAGGCCATCCAGGAGAAAGATATATCTACAATACAGAACATGTAAAGTATCTTGTTAAGGATGAATAAATTTTTGAACAACTCAATAGAAAAAAAAAGTGGGCAAAGCCATGGACACTTCACAGAAGAGGAAACAAAAGTGCCAGTAAATGTTAAAAAATGTTCAACACTGTTTGTAACCTCAGAGATATAAACTAAAACTACCCACCACAAAGACAGAAATTTTAAAGTCTGATGATACCAAGTGTGACAAAAATGGGGAGTAGTAGGAATTCTCCTAACGTTGCTGTTGGCATTGCAGAGTGACGCTGAGATGCATATGCTGGTTCTCCCAGAAATCCTAGGAGGTGTAAACACTGGCAAAATCTGCAAATGTACATCAGGAGACATGTACAGGAAGGCTTATAGCAGCACAGGACAGAGAAAAGCTGGGAATGAACATGTTCTATGCAGAAAGGATAAGAATTGCTGCCTGTTCATATTGTATAACTTCACTTATGTGAAAATAAGTGAGCAGTTGCTAAGTTGCCACAAGTACAATCCTCAAAAAATTAATGCTGAGCTAAAAAAGCAAGAAATGGGAGAATATAAAGTATTACTTTATATACTTTATAAAGTAATACTTTACTTATATAAAGTATTACTTTACTTATATAAAGTCAAAACTATCAACATATTAAAAGCAATTTAATTAATTACTGTAAACTACTCTGAAACCAATTATTTTGTGATACAGGCAAAAGTGATAAAATTATAAACAAAGCAAGGAAATGGTTAGCATTAAATTTGGGAGAGTTGCTCCCTCCAGGCCGGTGAGGAACATCTAACTGGGGAAGGATATATATGATGATATTCAAAGAAAACACTATCTTATTTAAATGGGGCGGTGGGACAGAGGTTCTTATTTTAATAATTTTCTTCAAATGTAAATCTAAACTCATGTATGGTATAGTGTACCAGAAAGTTGAAAGAGAATTGTGGGTCTGCTGGACTTAAGCGGCTGCTAGTCTTAAGCTGCCTGTTCAGCCACCATTGTGGTTTCCTGCAGTTCTGCATTCCTATACAAAGGTCAGAATTGTCCAGTCAGTCATAGGAGCCAAACCTTGCAATGTGCCTTTCATATCAATCAAGAGCAGAATGCTTGATCACTCTGGGAACACCCAGGGGACCTAGGACTGATGTATGCCAAGGGACCGCAGGAGCTGATCTATGGAAAGCCTTGTTGATCGGACTGTG